CCCCCCAACACTATCCAAATTAAAACCCAACACTACCCTGGCCAGTGTGGCTCAGTGGATAGAGCATCAGCCTGCACACTGAAGGTTCAAGGGTTAGATTCCCAGTCAAGGTCATGTACCTGGGTTGCAGGTTCCATCCCAGGCCCCAGTTGGGACAAATGCAAGAGGCAACCAATCAATGGCTATCTCTCAATCTCTCTCTTCACCCCCCTCCCTTCCACTCTCTCTAAAAATCAATGGAAAAAGATATCCTCGGGTGAAGATTTACCAAAAAACAAAACAAAAAACCCAACACTCCGCCAGCCTTCCTTCACCTTTTCTTTTTTCTCCTTCGTGCAGCTGGGTCTTCATCCTCATTGTACTCCCTTGGCATCCTAGAAGAGAAAGAAATTCACTGATAGCAAAATATTGCCATAGCCCCAGAAACCCTAAGTGGTCTTGAGGACTGAATAAAGGTCTAGAACACTGACCAAAGCAACAGCTTCAATCAGGCAGAGATCCAAGTTAATATTTGTGCTGAGTGGTTCTTACTTTAGAGAACATCACAACCACCTGAAGGACTATCAAAATTATGTACCCCCAAATATCTGCCCCAAAATATCTGCCCATTCTGCTCCATGGGGTGAGAATGGGCCCAGAAATTTGCCAATTTAAGCACCAGCAGCAACTCTAGTGCAAGTGGGTCAAGGAACATACTCTGAGAAAAACTGAGATACCAGAACATCCCAGGCTCCACTGGAGCTTCAATCTCCAAAGAGAAAGAATCAGAACCACAGGCTTCAAAAAGAACTACCCTTCCACTTCCTAAGACATCTAGACCAGGAGATTTTCTGTAGGAAGGAGATGGAAGACAGACTGGATCATCCCAGAACTTACTCATGGTGACGTGACTTGGAGGGTGGTGCAGAAGTAGGTGCAGCCCTTGGGGTCATAAGAAGTTTCCTGAAGTCTTCATTGGTAAGTTTTGATCTAGAAAGCAAAGATTTTAAACATTAGTACCCAATAAGAACTGGAAAAGAAATATGCAAAAAACATGGTTCATTTTACTGGAACTGAGGGAAATACAACTTAAAACAAAAACACATGGCCCGGGCCCAGTAGCTCAGTTGATCAGAGCATCATCCTGATATGCCAAGGTTTTGGGTTCTATCCCCAGTCAGGGCACATACAAGAATCAACCAATGAATGCATAAATAAGTTGAACAACAAATCAATGTTTTTCTCTCTCAAATCAGTATTAAAAAAATAAAATAAAATGCCATGCTCTGGCCAGTGTGTTCAGTGGTTAGAGCACTGGCCCTCAATCCCCAGCCCATCAGGGTGTATACTGGAGGCAACCAACCAATCAATGTGTCTCTCTCACATCCATGTTTCTCTTTCTGCCTCCCTTCCTTCCACTCTCTCTAAAAATCAATGGAAAAATATCCCCAAATGAGGAGTAACAAAACAAACACACACATGCCACTTCTAATGCATCAGTGTTAATTTTTAAAGTTTGATAAATTAGTAACTGAGTGAGAATTTAAGAAGTGGATATTCTCATATACCACTGATGGAATTTAAGTTAGTAGAACCTATCTGGAGGGCAATCTGGCAGTATCTATTAAAATTTAAGTGCGTACATCCTATGACCAAGCAATTCTATTCATCTATATATGGCCAATTATTGACTAACATGTATAAAAAGGTCTGTAAAGACCCTGGCCAGATAGCTCAGTTGGACAGAGTATCATCCTGATACTCCAAGGTTGTGGGTTTGACCCCTGGTCAGGGCACTCTCTGTCTCTCTCCCTCCTTCCTCTCTCTAAAACCAATCAATAAATAAGACAAATAAAAAGGTCTGTAAAGAAGGTTCAGTTACAACTTTGAAAATAAAAACTTGTCAACAGCCCTGGCCAGTGTGCATTGCCCCACACACAGAAGGGTCAAGTGTTCAATTCAGGGTCAAGGGCATGTACTTGAGTTGAAGATTCGATCCCCAGCCCTGGCAGAAGGCAACCAATCTCTCTCATATCGATGTTTCTCTCTCTCTCCACCCCCCTCCCTCCCTCTCTCTGAAATCAATAAAGATATATTTAAACAAACAAACCA